TTGGAGGGGGAGTGCGAGTCCCTGGGCCCCTGCTCCAGGAGGAGTTGGCAGGCAGCTCCTGGAGCAGTAAAATGACACCATGCTTCTCCTCCATTTTCTAATGAAATCTGCAGAGTGGGAAAGCAACACAAGTTGGAAGCGTCTTTCTTTGGAATCTGTCTGTAAACTGTAACTCCACCATCCCCTGCTCTGAGGGTTTGCAGCAGGTTTGTTCTTTATGAAAATCTGTCCTTTTTAATGCTAGTTTCTGTAAACTTGCTGTTGCTAGTCAATTAACTGCGATAAACTGTGAGTCTGTTAATATTATCTCTCTGCCTTAATACAATTAAAAATAAAATACTGGTGTGTAGAACAAACTTTTATTAACAAACAACTAGTTTAGAGCGAGTTAAAATGTTAAGATAATAATTTAGGGGTGCTGGAATTCATAGTAGCCATATTGGAATATTAATGTGTTAATTTAGCCTTCTGAGAAGTTGTGGAGCAGAAAGTGTTGGACAGGGTGAATTTTATAGCTTGGAACTTAGGCTGTGGTTCTGAGGGAAGCAAAGGCAGGGGAATTCTGTTGCACTTTGGATAATTTCAGTTGAAAATTAGCATATAATTGTGGACTCTGCATATTGGATAGCCTAGCCCTGGGACCTGGCGAATGTGTTATACAATTTGCCGATATCATAGTAGATAGAATTGCCGTGTTTGCTAAGGAAACAAATGCTTAGATATATATGAAATATAATATTCCTAAGCTGTTAGAGAAGTGCTGTGCCTTAGGGCTGGCTGGGCAGTGAGTACCGTGTTTATTTGTTGCTCCCCTTGATAGTCAAAAGTGATTCGAGTTCCTGCAGGTCCCCTGGGGTCTGTTCTAACACCCGTGGTCTGAAAGTGCTTTAATGAGGAAAGTGAAGTGTTAGGGGTGCCCTGGGCGTGCTGTTGGCAGCTCTGTCTGGGTGTCCAGGGAATGTCAGATGGAAATTATTTCACTTTACCCCAGAGGAGCGGGGCTGGGTGTTGTATTAAAGTCTCTTCAAGCGAGGTGTGCTCGTATTTTCTGCTTAAGGTGGCAGCGGAAAGAACAAGGGCTGGGCTGGTGTGTGCCAGAGGCTGAAGGAGTGTGTGTCCCCCTGCCTGGGCTGTGGCTGCACGAAGGTTTCTGTGTGTCCCAGCTCAGCTGAGCTGTGCTCCAGGCTCTGGAGGGTCACCCATGGAAGCAGCTGGGGCAGGAGGCACAGGGACAGCACCAAAAGTTGTGGTTTGGGCACTGGTTACACAGGTTGTGGAGTGGGAGCAAATGTGTTTCAATTTCAGAGCTCGTTGTAGTACCTGGATCATAGAAAAGTGCTAAGTCCTTCTGCATTAAACTGTCAACAAATTCTCAGCAATTTGCTTAAATAGCACCTCTCCCCCCTTCAGGGCTTAGTCACTCTCAGTTGGTTTATTTATAATGCAAGAAATTCTAGAAGCACCAAATGAAATAGATTTGTTTGATATTATTTCTTATTTGTGAAGTTCAGTTTTGAACCAGAAGTCAGAATCACAATTTATTGTCTCATTATGTGCATCAAAATATTTTGCAAGGAACCAGTTTCCTTCCCTTAACAGAGGGAAGAGCTTAAACTGAGGAAATCTGAAGTGGTGGCTGTGATCTCTGTCAGATTCCCAGTTTATCTAATAGCCTTTCAATCCCTTCTATTCCCTGTGCTCTGTACAATCAATTGAGTTGTGTCCTGGCCCTTCCTCTCCTAAATCCTGTCCCTCTCCAGTCAGCTGGGAACTGGGAGAGCTGGGTCGCTGCTGTGCCCTGGGAGGGGCAGCTGAAGTTGGGTGTCCTCACCCTGAGGCTTCTCCCTGCCTATTTGTCAAACAAGGAGGTCTCCAGAGTTTTTCTTTTCTGCTTCCCTTAAGCAGCCAAAATGCAATATTCCATTAAAACACAACTCAAATGCTGATTCTTCAGTGACTTTTTATTCTAAAGGCTTCTATTTTGTGTTTTTCAGAATATGTAAAGTAGAAATAAACAGAAATTATATCATAAGTAGCACTGACAACATTCAAATTGATTCCTTAAACAAAAGCTTGAGTTTGTTTTTATTTTTTGTTGTATTCCCATGACTCAGTTCCTGAAAGTGAATGATAAAATGGTCTTTAAACATATTTAAAAGATTTTTTAAAAGCCCCTGAAAACTACATTCTCAGTCATGTAGTAACATTATTCCTGGTGCTGAGGGAGGTCATGGTCGAATATTGAGGTGTCTTGGGAAGTTGCACAATAAATATTAAGACATTTTATGGATATCTCATCTAACAAATTTGGGAAGTAGATGAACATATCAGTACTGTGAGGGATGGCAGAGCCACAGCAGGAGCTCAGAGTTCCTGCCTGGTGCCCTGACTGTGTCCCTGTCCCTGTCCTGTGCTGTGTTCCCTCTGCCCATGGTGTGACCTTCCCCTCGCCCTGCTGGGGCCGTGCTCTTGGGACTGAGATCATTTGGAGCTGCAGTTGCACATTTGGCATTTTCCCAGTGCCAGCACTGTCCTGCCAGGCTGTGTGCAGCATTCCCTGTGCTGGCTGCCCTTCTGCTGGCACCTCTCACTCCAGGGCATCAATGATTTTCCCTTTTAGATTTCGGGCTCCTTCAAGCAGGGAAGCCTTAGCAATATGTCCTGTAGTTCCTGTTTGCCCCTTGTTCTTTTTGGGCCAGGCCAGAGCAGTTTTCTATGTGTAATATTTAAATGGGAAACTTAATTTTCTAATGCTTAAACGTTTTCTAAAAAAAGGTTAAATGTTGAACTAAACAGTGCGGTGCTGATTTGTCAGCAGAAGGCTGTAGAAAGCTGGTTGCTAGCATGTTGTGACTGAGATCACTTGGTTAGGAGTGATAGCAAGGCACATTCCTGCTTCCAGGTCTGTGCCATGGGTGTGTGATTGAGGGATAACAGCTTTTCCTCAGGGATGAGTTACAGCTTGACTCAGAAGAAACGCTGCCATTACATCATGTATGAACACCTCTAATAATATTGACTTAGTCTTCAGGTTTTTTTGCGTTGCTGTTCACATGAATAACTTTGTCCCACTTTCTCTTTCCTGGGGGTGGGGGTAGTGCCAGAACAAACCAAGACAAGTGTAAGCCAGCCCCAGCCTGTCACCTCCAACGGCACTTCCACAGGAACCAGCACTACTAATAATGCCAAGCGGGCCCCAGCCAGCAGCCAGCAGCAGCCCTTGCCTCGATACCCTCCTCGGGAAGTACCACCACGATTCCGACAGCAGGAACAGAAACAGCTTCTGAAACGAGGGCAGCAGTTACCAGTGATAGCTGCAAACCTGGGATCCACTCCCAAAGTGTTAAACGGCCAGTCAGGAGGCAGCCCTGGCACCAGTAACCAGCCCGTGACCAACGGAGAAGTGCCCAACAGCAGCAAAAAACAGCCAGGTGAGGGCAGGTACCTTGTTTTCCTTCAGCTTCAATTCAGTTATCAGGGGAACATTTCAGCCAACGTTATTTCAACTTCCACTGTAAGCTGTAGCATGAGGAGCTCCCTTCCTGTGTCAGTTGATAGTGAATGTTGCAGGGTGGTGTTGGCCTCTCTGGGCAGGTTCCAGGCTGAAGCTTCAGCCCTGGTCTCAGCTGTTGGCAGCAGTGACACGGCAGGGTGGTGATTCCAGTGTCACCTCTGCTGTCCTGCACATTCCCAGTCTTTGGATCCAAGCATGGTGGTGGTACAGAGCACCTTTGTTGTGCCCAGTTTTGATAACACATCCCAGAAGGAAAGGTTTTTGGGACCCATCGCTGAGATGGGCTGACCCCACAGCCTGGGCAGCAGGGGAGGGGGGAATTCTGCCCCACTCAGGTGAGACCCCACCTGCAGAGCTGCCCCAGCCCTGGCGCCCTGCACAGGGAGGAGCTGGAGCTGCTGGAGCGAGTCCAGAGGAGGCTCCAGGATGAGCAGAGAGATGGAGCAGCTCTGCTGGGATGAAAGGCTGGGGGAGTTGGGATTGTTCAGCCTGGAGAAGAGACCAGGGGTGACCTAATTTTGGCCTTCCAGTACCTGAAGGAAGCCCACAGGAAGGATGGTGCCAGAGGGCAGGGCTGGATGGGATATTGGGCAGGAATTGTTCCCTGGTAGGGTGGGCACAGGGTGCCCAGAGCAGCTGGGGCTGCCCCTGGATCCCTGGCAGTGTCCCAGGCCAGGCTGGACACTGGGGCTGGAGCAGCCTGGGACAGTGGGAGGTGTCCTTGCCCATGGCAATGGAACTGAGAGGTTTTCAAAGCCCCTTCCAGCACATTTCTTTGTGTGATTCTGAGCAGCACCTTTAGACTTGGCTTTCATTTTAACTTCATACCTGGAGATCCAGCCAGGGTACAGCTTGTTCAGGATATCAGAATTGTCTTTTATTGTCAGGTCAGAGTTTTTCTCAGTTTTTTCACCTGAAGTTTGGTTGTATGACAGAATGGATCCACTTTTACCTTCACTGCTATTTAAGTTCAGTCATCTTTTGTTACTTTGGTGTGTTATGCATTCCTTCAAACAGACTTTTCAATCAGGTGCATTTGCCTGTTGCTTTTATAGGATGTGCTGTTCAGTGGCTGCACTAAGATACAATTCAGTTAATTTTACAGGATTATTTTTGTCTGGAAAAAAGTAACTTTCTGTGAGGGATCTAGTTTTTCAAAGGGATTTGGTATTAATGCATGCCAATGCTTAATACTTTCTTATTTTTATACTTGTATTTATATTTTGATATGCACGTAGCAGTGATGATGTAACTTTTTCCCACAAATAGTTTCTTCTGTGACTTCACTGAATTCTCAGTGTTTCTCAATATTAGTGTTCTATAGACTACAAAGGATGTGATTCCCATTTGTGTGCTGCATTTTTCCCAGGTTTGCTGAGTTTTCCTTGATTTTGTGCTGGTGTGGCTGGGCACTGCCAGCACATCCCAGTGCTGTACTGGTGTCTGGGGCACTTCTGTGCTCTGAGGAATTTCCTGATTATTTGGGTGGTGTGTCTGCACACCAGGCTGGAGCCAGTGAGGTTCAGGGACAGAAGGGTTGGCCAGATGCCTTTGTCACCTGAGGAGAATGTGTGTGCTGCCTTAGCTGCTGTCACAGCTGTGTCCTGGCGTTCTGTGTGTCCCAGCACAGCTCAGACTCTGGGGCTGGGCACTCAGGACTCCTTTCTTGGTGCCCTGTGTGTGCCTGGAAGGTCTCTTTCCCTGGAATGACCAGGAATAGCTTGGTTTGGATGTGTTGTCATGTTCTTTCCTATGCATAGACAAGATGATAACAGAAAGGCAGATAATTTTTCTGTGCTGGATTTCTGTCCTGGTTTCAGGCTCTGGTCTGATGTGTTGCTGGTGAAGTGCAGGAGGCCCCATCCAGTAGGGCCTGGTGTCTTCTGACACCTTTGTATCTGAAAGGAAATGCAGTTGTCATTTGCCTGTCTCACTTTCACTCACTCCCTACTTCCTCTTTCAGCCTCCACCAGAAGCCAGGTACTCTCCTTGTTACCTCTGGAATCAAAAACCCCATGGGATCTGACAGATCTGTAGCTGGCTTGCATAGACAGGATATCCATGGATACTGGGGTTAAATCAGTGGCTGCTGGGATTGATCTGTATTTTAGGGATAAAAGAAAAACTGTGGCTTCAAGTGTTGAAGTCACAATTGCTGGAATTGAGACTGGCTGTGGGTTTGTGTGTAATTCCTGAAAGGATTTCTCTCCACTTCCAGCTGTGGTTGGAATGGTTTGGCAGGTGCTTTGTAAAAGCCTGGGAATGCAGGCAGATACTGCTGAATTTAAAAGTCTTTAATTGCCCTGGGCACACTAAGATTTTAAGTTGTTGGTATTGGCGAATTTTTAAATTATATCGGTGGTCTAAACCCCATCTCTTTACTTGTGTATTTTGTGAACAGTTGTCTCCTGGTTGGAAAATCAACATACATTGTCTAGAACTAAAGCTGAAGAAGGGATAGATGGGCTGGGCTTTTTCCTGCTGTTTTTAGGACATCTGGCATATTGTTTTAGCAAAGACATAAATGAAGCTCATGTCTTGTAGTGCTTCTGAAACAGATCCAGGCCAGTGCCAGGATGGTTATTTTAAGAAATCTCCCTAAGTAGATCTTTATCAGGACACTTGGATACCCAGTTTAGTTGTTGTCTTCACTGACGTGCCCCATGTGCAAGCTTCACATGAAAGGAAGGGCTGAGCCCTGCCCTGCTGTTTGCTCACCTCTGCTCTGGAGCACCTTGGAATAACCAGGTGGTTGTTGCACAGTGAAATGATTTCTGTCATGAACTGAAATATTTCCAGCAGTAATTGCTTTCTGCTGTGGCCAGAGCAGAACAGGAGAGCACCACTGGGCTCCTGGCAGGGCTCCAGTTTGGATTCCTCCTGTCTGCCTTTATCCTGGTGCATCTCACAGCACAGCCACCAAGTTGTGTCCCAGGCAGAGCCTTTGGGAACAGAAGGTCCCTGCTGTGCCCTGGGGTGGTTCTCAGCTCTTGGAGCAGTCAGGGAAGAAGGGAGCAGTTGGGATTTGCAGTTAGCAGTGATGAAGGTTGGATTCGTTTGGAGAACGTTGCCTTCAGTGTAGCAGTTATGGGCTCCAGCTGTAAAATTTGTGAGTTTGAAAGATGAGGTTTGGTTCTGTGCAGTGCCTGTGTGGCACAGGGGAGGAGGAGGAGGATGTGAGAGAGGGCAAATGATGGATTGTTGTGCACGTGCTTAGGTTAAATCAGCATTGGGCCATGCTCAAATGTTGCTGTTTGCTCGGACAGCAGAGTACTGACCTGGATGTGAAGCAAATGTGCTGTTCAGAGAGGGGAGAGGAACTCGCTGAAATTTCAGGGCTGACTGCTCAACTTCTTAGTACAGTCCAAAATGAACTGGTTTTGGTTTCACTGACTGTAAATTCTTCCTCTTTTTTGTATGAATCAAACATTTAAGGACATGTTAAATTGGTTCATTAAATGCCAAATGTGTAACAAGTAGGTCATCATGGAAATGTCATAAAAGCAGCAGAACTGCTAATTCTCCCATCCCCAGGCCGAGTTTGTTGTCATGAGGGCAGGCAGTGAGACTGAGCTGGCTCTGACAGAAACCTGTCCTGAAGAAGGGTCTGAGGCCTGGGTTCACAGCAGTGAGTGCTCTGGGGACTGTTCTCTCATTTGCTGAAGTAACACTTCTGTGATTTTCTTGCTTTTTTTTTGTAGGCATGCCTCCCATTCGGGACTTGGTGAGCCACTCCCCTAACCAGTCAGGTTAGCTACTTCCATCTCACCTGCTTTTGCACTACATGTTTGTGGTAGTTACATGTTTCACACAATTTTGTCTGATTTTTTTTATTATTATTTTTATTTTTATTCTTTGGCTTATGCTTTTCATTGGCATGAGTGTGTGAATGATTGCAGTATACTTTCTCTGTGCCATTGCATACTAATTTGGTTTGACATTTTTAATTTTCTAATTAAGTCAGAATTCATACTACGAGTTTTTGTCACCTTAGCATTAAAATACTGGGTTGTTTGTTTTTTTTTTACATTTAAGCTTCCATACTGACTTACCTCTTTATGGTATTGATTAATCTGTGCAAGCTTGTGCTTCCTATCAGAGATGTGTCACATTGTGGAGGAAATCATGTCTTGATTGTTTGCTAAAAGCCCAGGACTGTATTTACTGAAATGCTTTTGTTCATAAGGCCCAAAGGTGCAGTGATTGGCAAGGTATGGTATTGACAGTCTGGGGGTGCCAGGTGTGCTGGAGCAGGAAAAGGAGGCAGAGGGTGCAAGATTCAGGTATTTCTTAATTTACGCTTCTCAATCCTGTTTATTTTAGCCCGTGTGATGACAAACTGCTTTTTTAAATGCATACAGTTTTTTGCAAATGTTTCCTGCTGGATAACTCATAGCTGGAAAGCATTCAATTAAAAATTACTGAAAGCAATCTTAGCAGATTTCAGAATTTTAAGAAACTCGGGTTTGTGTAAATGGTTTTTTGTCAAGGATTTAAGCAGCAAAAGTTCAGTTGCAACTTTAAATAGTTTTGGGAAGAAAAGCAAGAGTAGGCTGTTTTGGCTCCTTGTGCTGTGCACCAAGTGCAGTGTGTTGTCACATGTCACTTTTCAGTTTTGAGGGTGTTTTGTGGTCTCTGCCAGATACAAAAAGTCAGAGCTAATATCTGCTTGCTCAGTGTTTGTATCCTTAGTCTCTGATGTTCATAGGTTGGAGAGGTTCAGGTAGGAATGCTCCAGAGCAGTGGCTCATACTAGACATCACTAACACATTTAAGACTGAGAGAGTGTTGGTCTGAGTAGTTTTGTATGTAATGGGAGCAGATCAGCTGAGTGGAAGTTAATCACTGCGTGCTGCTGGTGGATTGGCTCTGCACAAACTGCGTCACAGCTAAATCAGGGTAACAGAATTTTAACAAATACAGGAGTTCTTCATGTATTCTGCTGCTGTGCAAGTTAGAGTTTGTTTTACCATTTCCCTCTAACCTGTGTCTCTCTGTGCTGAATTCAGGCTGTTTGCCATCGGTGTGTGCCTTTGTGCTGCTTTTAGAAGGGAAGCTGTGACTGGGACGATGTTTGTGTGAGCAGGATCTTGTTCTGTGCCGTTGGTTCTCTCTCCCAGGAGTGCACACAGCTCTTTGATCAGTCCCTCAGTACAGATTAAATGTCCTTTTTTAAAATACCAGGGGGAGAGTTGAAACCTTGAGGTTTATTGGACAGTTGCTCAGACGTGACAGGGTTCTTGTCGTGCCACACCAATCAGCAGGTCCTGGGTTGTGCTCAGCCGAGTCCTGCTTCTCCTGAGGATGGTGGGGGTGACACTCCAGGGCTGTGCAGCTGCCAGGCACTACCACAGCACTCTGCCTGCCTGCCTCGGGTCTTTCCCATTCCTCCTGTTCAAACTGCTGAGCCACCATCCTGTTTGTCATGGTGATTTAGCAGGTGGAGCTCAGCTGAGTGCCAGGTGCTGAGGAGCCGTGGGTGATCCCTGCTCTGTGCTGGTCCAGCTCTGGGAGCCAGGGCCTTGGACTCAATTCTGTTTCACTGTAGGATGAGGAATACTGATATTGATTAAAAACTTAATACAAATAGACTTGTGCATCAGTGCATTCTGAAGGCAGAACTTCAGATGGGTCTTGTGTTTTTTGTGCCAAACTGTTGTATAAAAGAAAATATCTTGAATAACTTGTACTGAAGACTCTTACACCACGTCTGTAACGGGGCTGGGAAGGTGTGTGTTCTCTGCTGCTGTCACACAGCACTTGGTACTGCTGGGCCAGGGCCATGTCCTCTTGGAATTCCTGCCTTTCGGTGTGTTTTCAGGTTTTACTGAGTATTGTGGTTTTTAATATGCATATATGTTTTAGACAATACTTTGTATATGGTGATACAGAGTATTTAAAAAAATGCTTCTCTGGAAGAAGAGGACCTTTAGGAGTCTAAAGTTTTCAGAGGTTTTTATGAGAGCAGCTCTGCATGCTGGGAGGTGTTCTGGGTTGTGTGTGACAGCCTTTGGGCAGCTGTTCTTGGAGCTTTCTCTGTCACTTGCCATGACTGCAGTTTTAACAGAAGCAAAATAATAAGCAAAATAATTCCTGGCTTAATATCTTTATACCTTTTTATTTTTTCCTCTTCTGCTTAATGAAGTAATAATACTAAACTCATAATAATACTCTTGGGCTTTCCTTCTTCATTTTAGATCTGAACCACAGTGGTCTAGGATCCCATTATGAAAATTCTCACTGGGGACCAGTCTCTTCAAATAGCGACTCCAGCACAAACTGGGATAAAGTTATCGTAGACGGCTCTGACAAAGAAGCATGGCCATCAATCACTGGCAGTGACCCAGAGCTGACTTCAGAATGTATGGACACTGACTCTGCCTCCAGCTCTGGGTCGGAGCGGAACCTCGTCATCATGGCTTCAGGGAGCACAGGAGAGGGCGACGGCATTCGCAATGGCATCGGACATGGGGCTCAGAATAAGTTTGTGGTTGGTAGCAACAGCAATAATGTGGGCAATGGAAGTATTAACGGGCCCTGGGGGTTGTCCCATGGGTCCTTAATAAGCACATGTCAAGTTTCTGTGGATGCTCCTGACAGCAAATCTGAAAGTAGCAACAATAGAATGAATGCTTGGGGCACCATAAGCTCTTCATCAAATGGAGGGTTAAATCCAAGCACTTTGAATTCAAATGGCAACCATGGTGCCTGGTCCGTGTTGGAGAACAGTGGACATGCCCTGAAAGGGTCCGTGGGGAGTGGGAGTCCTGGCACAAGCATTCAGTGCAGTACCATAGGTCAGATGGCCAACAGCCAGAGTATTAACTCGAAAGTGGGTGGCTCAGCCCACGGTTCCTGGGGAAGCCTTCAGGAAAGTTGTGATTCTGAAGTAAATGGTACAAGGAATGTTTCATTCAGTGGGCAACCTCAAAACCTTAACACTGAAATGAATGGACCAAATAACACTACTAACTTTATGACCTCTAGTTTACCAAACTCTGCCGGTTCGGTGCAGATGAGCGAACTGCCCAGCACTGCAGGGCCCGGGGCCTGGCGCGTGAGCACAATGAATCATTCTCAGATTCAGGCCTCTCCAGTGGCAAACGGCACTTCCACCTCTCACCTGAGCAACGGGGAGGCCAAAACTGGCGGCTCTTATGGTACTACCTGGGGTGCCTATGGTTCTACTTACTCTGGAGACAAATGTCCAGGCCCAAACAGCCAAGCTAATGGTGACACTGTGAATGCAACTCTAATGCAGCCGGGCGGCAGCGGGCCTGGCAGCACTAACTTTCAAATCAACGGGAATAAAGGAGGAGGGGTGTGGGAGGCAGGGACAGTCAGCTCCCAGAACATGCCCTGGGCAAACGGGAATGGTGCCAGTGCTGGCGGGAGCAGAAGAGGATGGGGCAGCCCTGCACAGAACACTGGCACCAACATTTCCAACGGGGAATGGAGCAAACTGCCCAGCAATCAGCATTCCAATGAAGGTATGAATGGAAACAGCAGGAAGTTTACAAACGGATGGAAGTCTACTGAGGAGGAGGATCTGAACAGCCAGGGTTCTGCTGCCTCCCAGATGGCTGAGCAGAGCAGCACATGGGCCAAAACAGGTACGGGGGACAGCGAGGGCAGCTCCGAGAGCGCCGGGTGCCACGAGGACAGAGCAGCTACGGAAGGCCAGAACCGAGAGAGGAGGAAAGTTGACCAGCACACGTTACTCCAAAGCATAGTGAACAGAACTGACTTAGATCCACGTGTCCTTTCCAACTCTGGTTGGGGACAGACTCCAATCAAACAGAACACTGCCTGGGATACCGAAACGTCACCGAGGGGTGAAAGAAAAACTGACAACGGGACAGAGGCCTGGGGGGGCTCTGTGACACAGACTTCCAGCTCAGGGGGGTGTGTGGATAGACCTAGCCCTAATAATAACGATACCTCATCTGTATCGGGGTGGGGAGATCCAAAGTCTGCTACAAGGTGGGGAGACTCCAAAGGGTCAAACAGCCAAGGGGGGTGGGAAGAAGATTCTGCTGCTACGGTAATGGTCAAGAGCAATCAATCATGGGGAAGTGGCAAAGAGGAAAAGTCATCCTGGAATGACACACCGAAGATGAAGCAGGGATGGGGAGATGGACAGAAGGCCAGCCAGGGATGGGCAGTGTCTGCTGGTGATAGCTGGGGTGAAAACTCTAGAAGTAACCACTGGGGTGAGGCAAAGAAATCCAGTTCTGGAGGCAGCAACAGCGACAGGTCGGTGTCTGGTTGGAATGAGCCAGGTAAATCAAATTCTGTTACTTGGGGAGGCAACAATGCAACCCCAAACAACTCTTCAGGATGGGATGAGCCTGCAAAGCCTAATCAGAACCAGGGCTGGGGAGACCCTCCGAAATCCAATCAGCCTCAAGTCTGGGGGGACTCATCAAAGCCAATCAACTCTCCTGAGTGGAACAAACAAGATGTTGGCTCTTGGGGAGCCCCATCTGCCACGAACAAGCCCCCAGGGTCTGGCTGGCTGGGGGGGCCAATGCCAGCCCCAGCAAAGGAGGAAGAGCCCACGGGCTGGGAGGAGCCATCCCCCGAATCCATACGCCGCAAGATGGAGATTGATGATGGAACTTCTGCTTGGGGTGATCCAAGCAAATACAACTACAAAAATGTGAATATGTGGAATAAAAATGTCCCTAACAGTAGCAGCAGTTCAGACCAGCAAGCACAGGTACATCCGCAGCTACTGTCTTCAAGTGCCATGTCTAGCAAGGAGAGCAGTTCGGGTTCTGGTAAGCCTGGCTTTTACCCAAATTCGTGTTTTCTGTTGATTATAAAGCACTTTTTTAGCCTTGCTTCTTAGAACAGTATTTTAGTTTCCAAGTGGAAAGGGCAAAGTGGCAACGAAGTGCAGTTTCTATTAAAGAAATGAAAAGCATTGTCACAGAGCATTGATATTTTTGTGCAGATTGGAAGATTGGCTCTAGTTTTAAATAACTGCAGTAATAGGGGCTAAACAGCTCTGCTTGAGGTGTGGGGAGTAGAAACAGAGGAAATACTTAAAATAGTGTCTGGGGATTGAAATATTTTCCTAAATTACTCTAAATCAGCTAAAATTTAATTTTGCAAATGAGCCTTCAAAAAAAAGAAACCTGTTGAGCTTCTGCAGGACAGAATGAAGGGTGGTGGGTTTATAAGGATTTAGTATCAGACTTTCTGGTCTTGTGGCTTCGTGAGCAGTGAATAATGATTTTGGAGAGGAACTTAATGGGATGTAGGAAATATTTTGTGCTGTGTCTCTTTATCAAGTGCCAGATGGGGTCACTTGCATGTGACAAGCAGCTCTTAGCTTAATATCTTAGAAATTTGTATTATCAGAATGTAATTCTATAAACACAAAATTTATATTTTTATGATTACATTTTTTAATGCAACAGCTTGCAGTTATAACAATGACCCTCTCACAAAATGGAAATAATTGCTCACGTGCTTTTTACTGCATGTTAAGGATATAGAAAAGGCAAAACGCTTGAGTCTCTTTAGGTAGCTTTAAAATCCTGTTGAGAACAATGCCAATAACTGCCCCTGCTTTGCAAAGGTTGGGGAGAGCCTTCTGCTCCAGCCACTACTGTAGATAACGGGACTTCAGCGTGGGGCAAGCCCATGGACACTGGTACGAGCTGGGGAGAGCCTGTCAGCGATGCAGGAGGCACCTCTGGCTGGGGCAACGCTTCTCTTGGGCAGCAGCCTCCAAACAAACCTGGTGAGTGCTCCAAACCACCCTGGTGAGTGCTCCAAACCACCCTGGTGAGTGCTCTCAGCGTGTTTGAGAAGGCTGAGACACCTCTGGGGAAGTTTCCTGATTTTTCAGGGTTTTTTACCTTGCAGTAGGCATCGAGCTCTTGGGTGGAGCTGCTCCTGAAATGTTCACTGCTGGGTTTTTGTCCCCACCAGGGCCTAAATCTATGCAAGATAGTTGGTGTGGGGATGACATGCCATTGAGTGGCAGTCGTCAGACCAGCTGGGAGGAAGAGGAGGATGTTGAGATTGGAATGTGGAACAGCAGTTCCTCACAAGAAGCTAACCCATCGTTGAACTGGCCACCCTACATGAAGAAAATGCCCACAAAGGTGAGGAGCTGCTCAGGGCAAGGTTTTCTGTCATTTCTGAAAGCTCAGTCAGAAGGGATTACTGCACTTACACAGTACACTTCAATTTTCATTCTTAGCACTTCGTGATGTAATTAAAGTAGGATCTGAGTATCACAGGAATTCCTTTCTGTTTTTAAGGGAATAATGAAAGGTGGAAATAAGCAAGATGAAACATGGATCAATCCATTCATTAAGCAATTCACAAATCTCAGTTTTTCAGTAAGTATTTGTCTCTGTCTGGTTCTGCTGCCTTTCCACAGGGCTTGTTACAATGCACAGACATTGAAATGCTCAATTGCCAAGTGTTCATTTTCATCGTGGTTTTCTTTTTACTTGTGTTTGTCTCCCCTGTCAGCCATCCCTTTTCTGTGCATTCTCATTACAAAAAGACCTCTTTATTGATGAAAAGTGGTTTTGTAACCACTACCCACGTGTTCATCCCATAGCCTGATGCTTTACTGCATTTACAGAGGAGTTCTGGTGAGGGAACCTCTTCTTGACTGGATAGCAACTGAAGGGAGGAAGTGCTTTAAAATAGCATCTGATGGTCTTGATTTTTCTTTCTTGCATTTTTGAATTGTAATAGTGTGCAGGAATCTCTTTGTTTTATCTTAAAAATATTATTATTAAATAATGGTGATTTATTTTATTACTTCAGAGAGAATCACCAGAAGAAACCATACAGAGCAATAAGATGGACATGTCTGGAGGTAAGAACAGCAGAACTGAGTTTTATTGCTTTTCCTTCCATGCTCTTTTTTACCTTATATTCTTCTGTAAATTACATTTTTAAAACGATATGTAGTGTATATATATCTATATATAGTCCAGTATATATCTCTCTTAAGAAAAGGAATGTCCTTGTAAAGTGTTTGTGTGTGTGAGTAATGCTGCACACAGAATCACCTGGTTGCTATAGGGATATTGGCCCTGTATCAAACTGAGCTTATTCATATTTGTATATGTTAAACTGACAGGAGAGAATGTTTTCAGGGTGTGGTGAGTTTGTTTCTCATAATATAAATATCTTGATTGCCCTCTGGGCACCTCCACTGAGTATAAACAGAAACTTAGCAAATCCCACACTGGCTCATTGGGTTCATTCTTGGAAACACATGTTCAGTTCCAGGAACTAAATTAATACAGAGCAATTCTTTTAAAAAATTGTAAACCTGAGTGTAAAATTACTTGGGAGCAGTTACAGTTTATTTGATTCTGTTCACTGTTAGGATTTCTTTAGCAAGTAAGAGATAGTATAATTCTTAATATATTAATAACAGTATACTATGATGTGGAATATTTAACTAAAACTAATTGTAGCATTGTAGGTTTTAGTATAGTTACTCTCCAAATTCCACTTCAAAATTGGGTATTTTCACTTTGGGGCTCATAGTCTTTTGAGTAAAGGAATTCTTTGAGTTTTAGATTTCAATATTAATGGCAAGCCTGATATTTAAATTATTGCAAGTTTAAACAATTACACATTCTTGGTTTTAAGGGAGAGGTGAGAGTAATATTTGTGTGAAGCCTTGCAAAATCTGTTGGTGCTGATTCCAGGTCTCAGGTGTCTGCAGCCACTGGGGTTTCCTTTCCCAGGCAGTCCAAAGCTGCAGTGCTGTTGGTTTGGTGTTTGGTTTTTGGTGTTTGCTGTTTGTTTTCTGGGTGTCCTGCCGAGGGCAGCAGCACCCCAGGGTGTTGATCCAGCTGTGTGTGTCCCCAGGGTTACTGCAGGACAAGAGGATGGAGATGGACAAGCACGGGCTGGGCGTGGGAGATTACAATCGTGTGGTTGGCAAAGGCCCCGGTTCTCGTCCCCAAATTCCCAAAGAGTCTTCCATGGATCGCGGTCCTTACTTCGATAAGGTCAGTGGGTGTCCCTGGGGACACTGCTGAGCTCCTCTGGGACACTCTGCCTGCCCAGGGGTGACCTGTGTGCTCCTGAGCTTCCTGCAGGTGCTGAGGGGGGACTGGGGGCTGTTGATCTGTTCTTTTGAACTCCCTGATACACTGTACTAAGCACTTTCTGTAGCCCCTCACGGTGCCGATGACTAACCTGATCTCTTTTGTTTTCTGCCTATTTCCTGCTGGTGCTGGACTGTCCTGTGACTCTTCCCTTCTGCTCCTGCCATGGTTTCTCCCTTCTGCTTGCTTGCTGGCTGGTTGTTGCGCCTCGGTTTGTGTGTCCCATCAGGATGGCATTGTAGCAGACGAGTCCCAAAACATGCAGTTTATGTCCAATCAAAACATGAAGCTTCCCCCTTCAAATAATGCACTACCTAACCAAGCCCTGGGCTCCCTAGCAGGGCTGGGTATGCAAAGCTTGAATTCTGTTAGACAGGTAAGGCTGTGTGCAAATCCTTGGTGTGTTAACTGACAGCATTTAATGCCTTTTGATATAACATTGTAGCTGCTTGTGTGACTGATAGGTGTTTATGTTGTAATTGAAATGTGTGGGGTGGGAGAAGCAGCACACGAGGTTTATTGTCACTGACTGCCCGTCCTTTCCCCAGAATGGCAATCCCAGTGTGTTTGGTGTTGGGAATATAGCAGCACAGCCCAGGAGCATGCAGCAGCCTCCAGCACAACCTCTTAATTCATCTCAGCCTAACCCACGTGCTCAAGTGCCTCCTCCATTACTATCCCCTCAGGTAAGTGACACAGAAAACACGCTGTGTATAAACTAAATGCTGCTTCAGAAAATTGTTCCTTGTTTGCTGGTGTTGCCATAGTTATTCTGTAAACATTTGGGAACATATTTGGCTTGATGAAACCAGGCATCTGCTGACCAGAGATGATAGTATTGTCCACATTGTGGAGCAGGCAGAGGCGTTGCAGTCACCCGTGGCCCTGGTGTGTGTTGCAGGTTCCAGTATCATTACTGAAGTATGCACCAAACAGCGGTGGCCTGAGCCCACTCTTTGGCCCACAACAGGTAGCCATGTTGAATCAACTGTCCCAGTTAAACCAGCTTTCTCAGATCTCCCAGTTACAGGTGAGCTGGCCAGGCTGCTGGCTGTGTGTGTGTGTGAGTGAGTGGAGCGTGGTGTCACTGCCCTGTTCTGAACCCCTGCCTGTCCCACAGCGGCTGTTGGCTCAGCAGCAGAAGGCACAGCCTCAGAGGAGCATGCCTTCTGGGGGTCGGCAGCAGCAGGAGCAGCAGGTAAAGAAACCAGTTCGTTCTCCCTTCTCACTCTCTCCTGATAACTGCTCATCCTCAGCTGCATTTCTTGCTGTGACTCGTACTGAGGGGTTTGACAGGCTTTAGAGGAGGGGCTGGGTGCTGGGGTTTGGCTGTGCAGGGCGTACAAAGGTGCATTTCATTCTCTTTCTCAAAACATGGAAAAGCTTTTCCTCGTTGATATTGTAACTGCTCTGTTTCTTTTAAGGGTCGATCTCTTAGTATGCAGCAACAGATGATGCAACAGTCCCGTCAGCTTGATCCAAACCTGTTAATGAAGCAGCAAACTCCACCCTCCCAACAGCAGTCACTCCATCAGCCCTCCATGAAATCCTTCCTTGAGAATGTCATACCCCACACTACTCCTGAGCTGCAGAAAGGGCCGTCACCAATCAATGCATTCAGCAGCTTCCCTATAGGTGGGTGCCCTGCAGTGTCTGTGGGACACAGCCCTGCTTCCCCCTCTGCCTCCTCCTGGAAAATGACTGTAACCCTGTCAGTACTTCCCATTTTACTGGAAGCAGTGATTCTGTGTGGGATTACCCTTCTTCACCAAGTAACTTCTCCCCAAGTACACTCATTCCCAGTGAGTGTCCCTGTCTCAGTGCAGAATACTTTACAATCCTGAGGAATTACAGGCTCCTTTTAGTGCTCCTTTTGTCCCCTGGATCCCCAGGGTGACACAGAGTCCTGATTGCTGGAGCTAAAGGACTTGTAAGAAGTAGAATCCATGCAAAGAATCCATTGATGTAGACACATTTCTTGGGATTTCAGAAATGCTTTCAATGGCTCTGGAATTGCAAAGGTAGAACAAACTGTCACTTTGCCTGTTAGTAGTTTTGTCCAGGAAAGAAAGCTTTTGGCTTTGCATTTTTAAAGAATTGTTGTCTCATTAGGCAAAATGTCTGAACATTTATAAATACAAACATCTCCTGTTTCTTTCTCCCTACATTTTCAGGCTTCTGTCCAATTTCTACTTCAGAAATTCCAGGCTTGTATATTTTCTTCTTACTTTAGGTCCCTTTTTAAGGCTGTCTCACTACAATTGTTTACCATTTACCTCTGTTCCTTACCCCCGTTTCTTTCCTCTCCTTCATTTTTGCTTTTCTTCTCTTTTATTCTAACTGGGTCATTTCTGTTGGGTTGATTGCCTTTGCATTCTCATTGGCCTCTGCAGAGAAGTTTGTTTCCTGGACATGCAGCTGAGGTCCCTGTGCTTGCAAGGCAGAGTGGCACTGGCCAGGACAGTGCCACACTGGGGGTGGCTTGTGGCCAGCCCCAGCCCCAGGCTGCTGCTTCAGAGCTGCTGCTGATGATTGGCATCGATGTCCAATTCTGCTTTCACTCAAAGGGCAAGGCATACAAAGGAAGTTTTTTAGCTATTGGAGACACTGTGTTAGTTCTAAGGAAGGGCATATTTCACTTTCCTGGCAGACTCTGTGCTGGAAGTACAGACCAGAGCTACAGCAGGTCAAGACTAGTTCTGTTTGCCCCACATTTTAGGTATTTACATTTTAGCTTCTCTTAACTTCCTAATGTCTTCTTCCACTGACCTTTTTGCATGAGGACATGAGCTGAGAACTTGGGAGTGCTTTGCATTGCTCAGCTTAGCTTCTGTGTGCAGAGAGTTCCCTGGTTTCAGTGCTAGAATGTTCCTCAGAACCAGAGCCTTGGAAGCATGAGATAACCATGGTAATGTGCTCTTCAGTGCTTTCTGGGCCAGCAGTGGTGAGAGCAGAAGTTCAGGCTGTATCTCATAAGCTGTGTGTGCTTTCAGGAATGAACTCAAACTTGAATGTAAACCTGGATATGAGCAGTATTAAAGAGCCACAATCTCGGCTGAGGAAATGGACTACAGTCGACAGCATTTCTATGAACACATCCTTAGATCAAAACTCCAGCAAACATGGTATGTTCAGCCTTGAGCAGCCCTTGGGGCACATCAGCCTGTGGGGTTCTGGCTGTCAGTGCAGTTTGCAGGGTTTGGGCTCTGGGTGCAACTCCTGGGTCACAGTTTGTGTTCTGTTGTCTGTGCCAACTTGCTGCTTGTCTACCACAGCAGCCACAGCTTTGCTGACTGTGCTCACAGAATGATCTTGTGATGAGATTAGCAGAAACATTCTACAGAATTCATTTTTCAACCAGACTTTTCTGTAAGTGTGACTGTTGCTACTAGCATTACCTTAATCTCCTGTGGAATGCTTCATATATTTTTAAGCCAAAAGCTTGGTTTTCATGTGTTCTCTCCCACCACCCTTCTGTCCTAAGGTGATTTTGGGGGATTTACCACATTCTGAGCATGGCTGACATTTTTACTGACAGGTTTTGGTTATGAATGTCTATGTTTGCATTCTAAAATTGGGGAGAGCTTAGAAGGGCTAGACTTGGTACCATTTCTGTCCTTAGTTTTAGAGGAGGTGAACTCGGTTGCTTCGTGTTTCATTCCAGTAATCAAGATTCATATGACATTTCAACTGTTTCAGTTGCTTGAAATCTCATCCAGTTAAAATTCGAGTCTATAGCCCAAGAATCTGTGTCTAAAGATAGTTACAAATGTCCCCAGTCTCCTGTTACTGTTCAGTCTCAGATTGTGGGGGTATTTTTAGGTGCATCAGCTGCCATTCCCTGCAGCTGAGCCCATCCCAGTGTTGCCACAGGCAGTGCTGGTGTTGCTTTACCTGTAGGTGATGTTTTCTGACCAGAGCTAGGAATTTCTGTATCTCATGGAATCCCTGGCTCCCTCAGAACTGTAGCAGAGCAGCTTTGCTGTCTGGTAACTTTTAAACCATTCCTTGCTCTGTCTCCAGGGATTTTTTAATTTTTTTTTTTTTTTTTTTGCCTCCTAAGAATAGGAACAGAATCTAGAGAGCTTTGCAGTAGCCAAAGATCCTTCACATGTTGTAGCTGTTTGTTTCAGGAGCTCTCCCACCACAGAACCCTGTTAGTCAAGTGGGGTCCCACAGAATGCTCTTCCCCTCTGCAATGAATGCTTGAGCTGAATTCATGTTACTTTGAATATATGTACTGGTTTAGTGAAGGGATTTCATGGGAGATTATTCTTACAGTTTTCTCCTGAATTACTGGGACATATTTCATTTTGAGTTATGATCCTCTATGATCTCCAGTATAACTTGGCATCACAAGAGGACAGTGTGCTGCTGTATAT